CCCGCAAAGGCTTAACGCGGCACTGGTGATCTCTCCTTAGTACTGCTAAAGTAAAGTGGTTTTACTTTTCTGTAGTTTTTCAGTGTGGTTTTCTCGGTCATATCAGTGACATTGCCTGAGCAGTTGAAGGCTGTGCATTTATTGCGTGGACGGAACCAAAACAATGTAAGTGTCTAAAAGCATACGCACAGTTCCTTTGAATGATAAATTACTTTGAACGTAATGTCGTTAAACTGAATGCACGAAGGAAACTTTTAAAATAATCACAGCATTAACAACAACCTTGAAATAAGAGCACGAGATTTCTCTGTCAGTCAGATGCATGAGTGTTGCGTTCGTTAATATAGCAAACAGACATCGGGCGCGTTTTCAATCAGAATCATCATTCGCCAATAGAAAGGAAAAGTTAAATACTGTAGCATTTTATTTTATAATAATATAAAGAAACTCACATCATGCAAAGGTGTGACATAAAATGTTACCCTATAGCTTACATTCACAGTATGCTACACAGTAGTTAACACAAAATACTTTTAAAGACTTTTTTAAAATTTTGCCTATTCCCTATTAAAAAACAAATATACTAAAATGCATTTGAAATAAATGCATTTCATGCTAAGTATACTACAAACAATTTACATATTCATGTACTTAATAAAAATACCCTGCAATTGTACTTTTAGTAGCCTATACTAAACTGGTATAAAGTGTGCTAAATTGGAAGTAGTGCTGAAGTCCAACTAAAGATATACTGAAGCACATTTGAGTGGAACTATTGCAGGTATACTTCAGGTACACTTTAAATATCTTGCATTTAAAGACTGATATTATTCAAAGATCATACAATCCTCATCAATAGTGACATTAAAACACATTTTAAGCTTAATATTAAGTAACACGAATTGTGCGCAAGTACGGTAGTACTCCAAATAAAGTTTAATTAAAAGTTTTAATTAGATAAAAATAAAAAATAAATAAAAAACATACTGTATCGGAAATTAAGTCAATGCAGGTCAGAATTTCTTTGTTGAAAAAACAAAACAAAGATAAGTTTCATTATTGCATTCAGAAATAATATAAGTACTAGTAAATAAAATGAAATTATTTTTGTAATATTATAAATAAATGGTATTTTTAATGAACATTATTCATGTTAAAACATGCATTTTAATTCCCGTCACTCCACAACAAGTCCTTTAAATTTAGCAGTATTCAGAACAGGGCAAGAATTAAAAATAAATTTTATAAAGCAAACATAAAGTATAGTGGAATCAGGGCTATTATAGTTAATTACAATTAAAGCCATAAAAATACATTTTTATTATTTGAAATAAAATATTTAAAACATTTTATTTTAGTTAGTGGCCCAGACAATATTTTAGGGCTGGGCGATATAGCTAAAAAGTTAATCAACGATATAATGTTTCATATCGTTCGGTATCGATAATTATTGAAATTTTTTATAAGCTTTTTTAAAACAAAAAGCAATAGAAATTTTTTTTTTAATTTAACCACTGAATTTATAATTAACACAATTTATTGAGACAAACAACACATTTTTTTTTTTAACAATCAAACACAATAAAAATTAAACAAATATCTTATTTCTAATGTTTTATATGCAGATTAAATAGGTCTTTATTGTATAGGTCTAATTGTCTCCCGAGGCCACAGGAGGGAGCAATGAGCAAAATAATGCAGCGCATTTAAATAGTCAACGCAAGGAAGTAACTCTATAAAAATGTGCATTACGTCTAAATTAACTCATAAAAATCAAATATAATTTC